GACATTTTCGACTTAAGAAATACTCTTAGATCAATATTGAATGAACTTAAAGAGTTGAACAATGGTAAACAAGAAATAGTTTTTAATCAGGTTTCAAGAAATGTTTTTTGTAAGAACTACAATGATGATTTAAAAAACTTGTCTGAAAGTAGGTTAGTAATTGATTTATTCTTAAGAGAGTTTAAAATCTAAATATACATAGTAGAGAGCCACCTTTTTTAGGTGGCTTTTTTGTGCTTATGATTTCTAAAAGTAAAGTTATTAAACTAATGTTAATTGTACCCATCATATGGCTTTAATAGGCTCTCTATAGCCTTTGTTTATATGCTTAAGGTACTATGGTACATCAAAGTAGAATTATTCAGTGTAGAGCCTTACACAAGCGTTAAACGCATATTAAAATTATTGGCTAGGGGAGTGTCAGGTGTTTTATTAGTTATTCATAGTGTATCTAACAGACCTAACAAAAGTTTATTTTAAAAATGCCTAATCAATTTAAAAAGATAAGGTGGGTATACATTGAGAGCTTTACCCATCTATTTTTAAAAACGAATGGTTGATCAGGATATTTTAGGGTCGGGGTGGCATTAATTTTCGACCCCCTATTCGTTGGGCTTAACCCACCAAGATTTAGATAATAGAATATAACAATTCCATACCAAACAATTATAGTGATAAAAAGCTACCCTCGTTTATACCGATATCAGATATTTTAGAAACAGGGAGAATATATTAACCCCCCTATTTCAATATAGAGAAAAAATTTTTAGTACAAATTTACCATTTTAGTACAAATTTACCATGCAACATTCAGCCTATTATAAATTTCATCAATAGTTTCTTTCAACTCATTGTCAATCAACTCTTCTTCTTCAAAATCCAAGTATTCACCACCACATCCACAATCACAACCGTAAAGTATTGTATCATTTCTCTTGAGTTCATAATTGGATTCAACCATTTTAATATAGTCATTCCAATCTTGGATAGTTAAGTTTTTAATTGACAGTTCAGCCAATAAATTTCCTTTAACTTCTTTAAAATATTTATAATTAGAGATAAACAAGCAAACTTGTTTGGTAAACCACTCTTGTTGAAATTCCTCATAATCTTTATATTCATTCTTATTATCTTCAAAAGATTTTATATGTAAATCTATTTCAGAGAATGAGAAATTGAAAGAATCAGATTTTTTAGATATTTCTTCCAGCAATGACAGTTTAGTTTCAGCACTCATATTTCCAATATCCTATAACTCTTGATTTAATTTGTTCAACACAAAATTTATTTCTTGTTGACCATTTAATAGTATTCCCACTTTCATCACTTCCATACTCAGTATTTAGAATAATTGCAGATTGGAAAACTTTTCCATATAGATAATCCAGATAATTTGTAGTCAAGATAAAAAGAACATTTACTACAACATTTCCAATTCTATATTGAATAGAAATACATTGATTTCCATTATTATAACTCTTTACTGTTGGGTACACTGTAAAACCAAGAGTATCAATAATTGGTAGTTTTTTAAGTTCCTTTATCAAGCGTTTATCATGGCAATAAACCAATATTAGTCTGTCATCTATTTTATATTTTAGATTTTGAAATATTAAATCCTTTAGTTTATCAAAAAGTTTGTTTTCACTATCTAATATGTATAGGTTTTCCATAATTCAACTAATTCCGTACAATTTCAAAAGTCAGGCTTTCAATCATAACAATGTAGCAATCATTGTACTCTACTTTACGATCTTTTTGAAATATTTTATGTTCATTTTCATAAGGAGAAAGATTTCTTACAGTGAAGTCTTTGATCATATCAGCAACCACAGAATACTCTAATTCTTTAGTTTCAATTTCTGTAACTGTAGTAGAGATTAGTTTAGGGTGTAACAAACAATAAGGGTTTATTAATTCAGGGTATTCAAAAACATTTTCAGTTAAGCATCTAGTCAATCTTACATAGAATGGTTTTTTCATTTAATATAAACCTCCAATAGGTTAATTTCTTTGATTATTGATAAGGAACTGATCATGTTGTTCAACAGTAACACCCATTTTATCTAAAGCTTTTTTAGTTTCTAAAATATACCCTAAGTAATTATGTGCATGATCATTTCCAGAAAGATCATCATCCTCTTTCTGATACTGATATATTTGCTCCCATTCTTTTAGAGTTTTCTGTTGGTTTACTGTCCTCATATCACCATAGAAATCCATTAGTTTCAATTCAACTTCAGAATTTAACATCAACTTCCAATCTCCATTCATTAGATTCCTCTATCTTCTGTTTAAGTTTCCATCCTAGTTCAACAGAAACATCATTTGGATATTTGTTCAATGGTAGTGAGTTATTCTGCCACAGTTTAATTTGTTCTGTACTTTCCTCTTGTTTTGGTAGGAACACACAACTTGGGTATCTATTACAAACATCTGCACCATAAGTTAATGGATTAGATAACAGATATATAGCCATAATTAGTGGAATATTCTTATACATTGCACTTTCCTCTAATTCTTGTTTTAGCATAATTAAATAGTTTCAGTTGTTCATCTGTTGGCTTATTAGTTACAACAATAACACTAGAAACTTCCCTACCAACAAGAGAATCTAAAAACATATCTACACTAACATCTTTTGGACAGTATATGTTTATAATCTGTTTATCTCCTTTTTCATTATATAACTTTTCAACATTGTTGTTGCAGTAATAATAGTTAAAATATTCACTAATATTTATATCTTTAACATTAAATTTTTCTTCAGTGTTAACAATTACAATACAGAAACTATCAAACTCTTTAATAACATTTGTTATATGGTTAACAACAAATCCTTTATAAGAAACATTACTCTTAAAATAGAAATACTTCTTACTGTCAGAATACATATGATTCATATTTTCACCTAAAGCAACAATTCTTCAACTGGATAAATAATATAACGCTTATCTTCTGTTGCCATATTTTCAGAAAGGTCATTAACATCTTGTAGAGATAGGAATGGAAGTCTTTGTTTCAGTCCAGTCCACCCATCTACAGTATCTTTAAACACAGCTACAACAATCATTTCTTCTGTATCATGGATTGCAAGGAAATCTGCTTCACCAATTACAGTTCTAGTTTTGAAATTATTATTATTCCCACCATTATTTAGATAATCTTGAGGAAATAAGTTAAAAACTTTACTATTTTTTGAACTTTCCACTAAACCAACCATTACAATCTCCTAAAAATCAATTAAAAATTAGACATCACTACCTGAAACAGTGTAAAAACCCTTTCCAAAGATACTATTTACAGTTTCTTGTGCAATTTTACGAGAAGAAGCCTTAATAAATACACGATATCCTTGAGCATTTCTCACATGAAACTTGTATTTTGGTATATTTTTGTTGATTCTTTGCCCATTATCCACAGAAACGTGGATTTTTCTTGTTTTTTCACCAATTTTATACTCATACAGGATTTCACCACCAAAATTAAGTACATTATCTAGTTTGTTCTTTTTTCCTTCATCATCTAGGTCAACCTTTTGATATCGACTGTTTTTAAATTTCTGAAGAGCTTTAGTGAAAGACATTGATACTATTTCCTTACATTTCAGTTATATTATAAAAAGATTATCAAATTTTCGATTATTCACATTTGAATTACCATTATGTAGTAAATAGATGACACCATTAGCTTTCAATGTGTTGTTCATCTTATTATGAATAACATTTGTTTCACTTTTAATTTTATCGACAATGAAATCATGTTCTGATTTATCAATCATAAGACCAGTAACAGTTTTTTCAGTCTTAACCAGAACATTTAACAACATTAACAGTTCTTTCTTGTTCATACTATTTCCTATAATTAAAACAGGAGAGTTTTCACTCTCCATTTATTTAATCTACTTTAGTTTTTGGTTTTCTGGTTCTAGTTCCAGTAGTTTTTGGTTTTGGCTCTGTTGATTCTTCAGTTGGCTCTTCATTACCAACTTCTTCAGCAGTTTCATCAACTGTGGACTCTTTCTCCATAACAACACGTAGAGAGCCACCAATAAGGAATATTGTATTACCATCTTTAATATTCCAACCTTCCTTTGTTAAGGAAGCTACTTCACGAACAATAATATGGTATTGACCATTTAAAATCTTTTGTTCCATTACATTACCCACCATTAAGCGTATTGTTTTGTATTCTTAGACAATGATTTCTTAAAATCATTAATAATCTTTTGTTCACGAACATTAAGTATACTTTTCATATCACGTTTCTTTGCAAATTCTGCTTTTTCATTTGCATTATTACTTCCAACAGACTTAATCATTACATATACCTTTTAAATTAAATGAGTTTGTATTATTAACTATTTCAAATAGCAAGTCAAGCTTTTTCTTAACTTTATGTGCATTATCTAACCATCCAAATGAATCAGATACTTTTTTTTCAGAATCTTTAACCATCCTATTATACTTTGGCAAACACTTCCTAATCAGATACTCTTCATATTGAGATGCTTCATTTTTAGTATCAAAATATTTAAGTACAACTGTTTTCAAATTTTCATATATAAAATGATCTCTGTTTAATTCATAAACATGGCTAGTTCCAGAATTAACATGTTTTTCTCTACCTGTTTTTCCATGACCAATGTATAAGATATCAACATTATTATGGCAAGCATAAACAATCCAAGAATTTCTACATTCCATTTAAGTAATCCACCACATTGTTAAATTCATACTCTGTCATACCAATAGATTTAAGTTTCTTTTGTGTTTTTAAAAGAGTTTCCCTAGCAGATTTGCCATATAAATCCCAATCAGGGATGAAATATTCAACATTAATTCCTTTCTCTAAAGCATATTTCTTACCCAGAGAATCTGCACCAATAGCACCTCCACAAATTATTGACTCTATTTTATGATTTACAGTAAGTAAATCTATTTTTTCACAAAGAATACCATAGTTTTTAAATGATCTTCCTCCAGCAACAATTAATTTCATTAATCATACCTTTTAAATGTATCTAGTTTTTCAAATTCCCACTCATTCATCCAACAAATAAGTAACTCTCTCATTCTAGCAGATGGAATATATAAATCAACCACTTCACCATTCCTAATTCTACTTCTGTATATCCACTGTATAAGCTCACTCACGGCAAATTGCTCCTCTGATATAGGATAACCCATTTTATGACACAATCTTGTTATAGCTGGCTGTACGAATAGATTAAGCATATATGCTAGACAGTGGCATTGATTATATGAGTTAGTCGCTTTAATATTGTATGGCAACCATTCATTACTATAATTTTTCCCAGAAACCTTATGATCATAGTCTTTAAATACAGTATGAAACCTAAAAATCTTTTTTGGTGATTTAGTTACATGCCTATTAAAATTTCCTAAATTTTTACGCAGATTTTCACAGATAGAATCACCATCTTTTGAAAAATGTGAAGATGATAAGCTGAACCACCTTTCACCACACAAATTTAATTTATTTTTTCTTGATTCAATCATAGAATTAAATGAAGAATTATCTTTCACTCCATGAATATTAATTAATTTAAGAAAATCTTTTGGTGATTTGCCAAAATTTACTATTTCATAACTAATTTTATGTTTCTTAAACAAAGAGTCCATTTGACTTCCTTGAAACATATACGTTGAAACCCAGACTTCCTTAAAAGACTTAATAAGTTCAATGTCTAGCATCCATATAACATAACTTTGATCAATAACAGCTAATTGTCTAGCATTACATAATCTAGCTAACTCTTCATATTTAGTTCCATCGGTTGTTGAGTCATCTCTACCAAAATTTTCTTTGTTAAACACAAGTGTAAAACCATCCTCTGCCACAGAAAGAAGTTTCTTCTTAAAAAGAAGTCTAGTTTCTTTTACAGTTACACCAGAATAATATTGAAACACAGATATTGTTTCATCAATAATCAAAGTATATTCCTTTGAATTAACTAGGGTATCTTTAGTTAATTTGCTGAACAACTGATGTGTACTAACAATATTCTGTTTATTGTTCATAAGAGTTTTAAGATTTTGTTCTTTATTACCTCCTTTATAGTCTGGATGTTTGAATTTTCTGTTAAACAGCGGGTGATTATTATCATAAGCATAGCTTATTTTACTATTTTCCTCAAGAATAGGTCTTTTGAACAAATCATCTTCTTCATACTTAGTTCCAGCAACACGATGACATTCATCAATAACAGGAACAATATACAAGAACTTTCTGTTAAAATCTGATTCTTTGATTTTCTGTATTAAATGATTAGTTTTACCTGAACCACACACAGCATCAAACACTGTTACTTTTGGATTTTCATTTATAATTGAATTATCATACACAACATCTGAAATTGATAAATCATCTTTCTCAAAATCCAAGTGTAAATCATCTGTTTCACTAAAACCATCCCAACAAATGTTAGGTACATTATTATCAAACATAATTAACTCCTTAAAACAACAAATGATACATAATAAAAAATTAAAGTCAACCAAAAATTAGTGCATTATTTAATCAATATCACTTTTTGCGGAAATTTCTCCGCAGAATTGAAATAACTAACAATAAAAACAATAACTTAACCCCCCAAAACTATAATTAATAATATAGTAAAAACAAATGCTAATGTTCTGTCTAATAATTCATGTTTAACAGATATAATTACAGACATGGTTAATGGGTTATTTTGTTTATCTTTCTGTGTTTGGTGAATGAAATGAATTAAGGGAGAAGTAGCGATACAGAGCTGTCAGGATTGTTGTGTTATGTTTCTGTGTTGGTGACAGAAGATGTCGTGATCTACCTATGTATTCTGTAATGCCACATATTGAATTTTATTCCTTTAATGTAGTTATGATCATTTTTTTAATTTAAATCTCTACAGTAAGCTATATGAATACCCTATGGCACATAACTAAATAAAGATTTGTATTTCTGTGGACATATGTTATAATATATTGCCAGACATTAGGAGGAAGTATGGATTTATTTAACAACAATGGTTTTATCTGTGTAGACAAAACTGAGGGTATCAAGACATCTAACGAAAAATTCATTTGCTACTTTGTGTATTTTAGAGATAAATTATCTTACATTGGTTATGGTAATTCAAAGAGATTATTGTCACACACCAAAGGTTGCTCTGGAATAAAAGAGTTCAAAGAACATCCAGAAGAAGTAGAAGTTTTTGGTATTAAAGAATTTTACTGTAAGGATGAAGCTAGACTTTTTCAGAGTCATTATATAAGAAAACTTAAACCTATTTTTAATAAGCAATATTGTGGTATTAAGAAATACATAAATGCGAAACAAACAAGGTTTATACCTAATAAGTATACAGTTTCAAGTTTAGACAGTGATTTTTTTAAAATATGTCTATTACATCAGATGAGGGTTGATCATTGGGTTATTTGCAAGATGTTTAATATAAGTAATATTGATTTAACTATGATGATAAATAAAATTGGCAGTTATAAACTATTGATTAACCCATTTGAGTATTTCAATTCTGATGATGAAATATGTGTTGACAAAGATGTATGCAAGCATTTTAAAACTAAGTATAGTTCATTATTTGACCAATCAGATAAAATTTACATGAAAATAGGTAGATTTTGAGTTTTATTTGTGTTATAGGTATTGACAAAGTGTAGGTTATAGTGTTATAATAGTCTCATGTTATTGCAAATAGAATCAAACAAACATTAGAAGCATTTATACAGAAGATTGATTTTCTATCCCTGCAATAGCTCTATTATAATTTCCTAGTAGCTCAATTGTACCCTTTTGGGGCTTGAAGTCCTTAATTTTATTAAGGCAATTTAAGGCAATTTAAGGAAAGTGAAACAGATAGGTTCTGTACTTGTTTGCTAAACAAAGGGAGTGTAGAGATACGCTTGGTTTTCGATTAACCCTCTTTCCTCCAGTTTCTAGTCGATTAGTTCAAAATTAGAACGGCAAACTGATAATTTGCAGACGATGGAGAGTTACCATCATCGACTACCATTTAATTTAACAAAAGTGATCGATCAAGTAACATTACTTTTGGGAAATTATTCTTGAAACAAGAACCAATATGGGCTTATAGTGTAAGGAATAGCACAAGAGGTTTCTACCCTTTTAGACCAAGTTTGAATCTTGGTAAGCCCTCCAAACAAAATATTGATAGGTGAAATTATGTGTGATGGTTATGGAATTGGTTAATTAAGAAGTTTTAAAAAATGGGTGGTTAACTGAAAAGCAACAGAATAGGATTCAAACTACTCACCGCCCACAAATATTCTTAATATACAGAATTAAAACAGTATATCATGGGTGAAAGGCGGTAGAGGTATCCCCTTATAAAATAGTATCAACCTCAATTCTATTTAAACCTGATACAAGGACTGCACTGCAAAATAGAACATGGATTCTATATTGTGTCGCTTGTACAATAGGAAGTAGTGCTTAAGGGTCTGTTTCACGGCAATGTAACTCATGGAATGTTATGTTGTGACGCCTTAAGTCACGGATAGGTAGTAAGTACCTTGACTGCTAGGAAAGACTAGCAATTTGTTAATTTAAAGATGCAACTTACGACGGATTTCCATTGTTTGCTAGCAGTTGCATCATCTAAGCTAATATTCAGCAGAGAGACTTGCTGGTTTATCCTCCCCTTTCTGTGTGGTTTAGTCAGCCAAGAATGACTTCAAATATATGTTATAATTATTTTTAATATTGAGGGTCAAATGGAAACTGAACAATTGAATTTCAGAGCATTATTAGATTTAATGAAGTCAGCAGAAATTGCTGATGTTATTGGTGCAAAAGACTTAAAAGATAATATACTAAGTATTGCTAATAACTTATCAAAGCAACATTTAGCTGATAGTGAAAGTTTACCTGTTATTGCTCAAGGATGAGTATAGCAACTTGTTTGGCTTTTGTGGTTTACATGGAAAGTAAATCTGAGCCAATTAAAGGTCAAGAAGCAGTTGCAGAAGTAGTTCTAAATAGAAGTAATTCTGGAGTGTATCCTAAGAACCCTTGCTCTGTTATAAAACAGAGAGGACAGTTTTCATGGTACAGTAGAAATATGGATATTACTAAAGAGCCACATAAGTATAATAAAGAACAATGGGAGTTAGCAACTGAAGTTGCAAATAAAGTTCTTAATAACAAAACAAACCACACAAAAGGCTCTTTATTCTTTAATACAAGAAATCTTGGTGTTAGATATAAAACCAAAGTAAAACCATGTGTGATAGGAAATCACATATTTTATTGATGGGAGTTATTATGATTAAATCACATACTCCAATGACAATTAAAGCTAGAATGAATAAAAACATTGAAAAAGCTTTAGAGGTTATGGAATTAGCTCTTTCAGACGTTTCTTTATCTAGTGATAAGAGATATAAAATCGCAAGTGATTATATTTCAGTATACTTAAGAATGGATAACGAGAAGAGAAAAGAAGAAGATCACAGAGAAAGTATGAGAGGTAAGAAGCTCAACAATATTAAATCCGAATTTCAAATATCAGAAATTGAGGAAGGCTTTGATACTAATCAAGAGACAACAAGTAATCCGTCTTTCAGTACAAAAGTAGTGGTATAAGATATGAGAGTAAGAAGAACAAAACAAAAAGCTAATAACTCTTCTGAAAAACCTATCTTTGCTCCAGCTTCATTAAAACAACAGCAATTCATTGAGAGTGACACAACCATTACAGTTTTTGGTGGTAGTGCTGGGTGTCTATTGGCTGATGCGGAGTATTTCTCACCAACTGGTTGGAAGAAGATTAGTGAGTATGATGGGGGATTGGTTGGTCAATGGACTGAATCAAATAAGTTAGAGTTAGTTCAACCACAAGATTATATAAAACTACCTTGTGACAGTATGAAAAGGATGACTGCAAGAGGTTTAGATTTTACTTTATCTGATGAGCATAGAGTTGTTTATTTCAATGATAATGACCTAAGCAAACCAAAAGTTATTTCTTGGTCGGGTGTTTTAGATCGTCACAGTAATTCAGTAAAAGGTTTCTCTGGGAAAATTAAAACAACTTTTGAAGTTGATAATGTTGGTTTAGATTTAACAGACGATGAGATTAGGTTAGCAGTTGCTATTCAAGCAGATGGCTGTATCAGACATGTAAATGAAAAAGGTGTCAAATCCGTTTCTATAAGAGTTTCTAAAGAAAGAAAAGCGGATAGATTGCGTAAACTATTGACTTCTCTT